GAGATTTCGTGACTCTCTTGTCTGCGGTGGTTAACCAGGACTTCAATATATCTGTACTTTCTTCTGGGGAAAAGGGTGCTACTTCAATATACTGAGATAGGTCAGGTACTCTTTCCTTGACCTTTTCCAAGATTCCATGTTCCTTTGGAAGTGTAGAAACCACGAGAGCAACGTTTGGAGGTAGTGACTTCGGTAGCCAAACCATGCGATACGCGCCGTGATCGTTTGACAATTGATCAAGTGAGTCCAGAAAAATGATAAGAGGCTTTTTCGCTGTAGCAAATTTCAGAGTTTTAACAAAGGCCGCTACCAACTTGTTGTACTCAGTAGGAACTTGGATATCTGTCCGATTGTAGGCCTGGATAATTTGTTTGCATAGCGTTGTCAGAACTCGCGGAATGGATGAGGTATTTGGGCTTGTGCCAAGAAATCGTAGCATCATCACTGTGTCAGTGCCACAAAGCCATGACTGCTTAACAAGTGCTGCACATTTTGCCATAATGGATGTCTTTCCACTTCCTGACTCTCCATACAACACCATGGGAACACCATCTTTTCCACTGTTATCCTCTGCCCGTTGCATAACGTAGTCTTGTACCTTTTTAATGATGCCATCCCTGCCCTGGAATCCAACGCATTTACTCAGACAGAAAGACAGGTGCTGCAGAATCTCCTGATGTAAGGGATCTTCCAGGCTGGCAAGCTTCTCCTTTGAGATACCAATCTCTACCAGGCTTACGATCTTGGTGTAAAACGTATCCAAAAAGCCTTTGATATATTCACTGTGATTCTTGTTATCTAGATTAACCCCATCCTTTGTCCACTCGCCTAGATCGGTTACAATTGTATTGGAGAGGGGAAGTGCTTGGGTGACTTTGTTGTCACGTAGATCAGAAAGCAGCTCCCTTGCCTCGATGTCTACCTTTCCGTCCTGAAGGTCGAGGAACTTTGAGGCTTCTCTCGTCTCATACTTGCTCTCTAAGTCGCTGAACTTTCGGATGAAACATAGGCATTGGTTCTGTCTGTCCGACGGTGTATTGATAATGCCATGATCAACTTCGTCGTGGGTTACTGTTAAGTAAAAAAAAACTAGAAATCTTTAACTTGCGTTTTAGAATAAACTACTAATGACGACACAGATATTCCTAGGTTTCCCGCTTTTCATCAAAAGAGTTCACAAACCTGAAATCCTGTACTTCTTTGATTGGTCTGCTGTCAGCAGACCCTGCTTTTCCACCTCGTTAGCAGCAAAACGCAGCTGACCTTGGAGTAGCTCAAAGGTTGCCCACCACTCTGTCTTGTGCGCCCTCATTTTCTCAGGATCGTCCTGGCGATTGAAGTATGGCAGCCTGGAACTGATTGGCTGTAGGACGTACACAGGTGGTATGCAGTTGTCGTCACATCTAAACCACTCGTCGAGCGTTTCAATCGGCTTTCCGTTGTTAGCTAAGTATTCCCGGAGTATTTTGAATTCATCATGTTCAATTTTAGGCGGGAAAGGTCTGTAGCCATATTTTTGACAAAGGAACGTCTGCCAAAAAACACACCAATACATTGCTTGTATTTTGACAGTCACGTTATATGGTTAAGCCACTTGTAAATCAGATGCCTTCATTTGCCGGTATAGGAAAGCAGAAAGTGAAAATATTCGAATAAATCGTTCTCAAAATATACATTTTCGCACGTTTTGAAGAATGTCCACACATTTTGAACTGTAGTGGAAATAATCGCCACACCCCCGGCAGGAAAGGTTTGTGATGGATTATTGTGTAAGTGAAAGTAAAAAAAACGAGAGAATATATGATTCAAAGCAAAGTGGAAGCGATGCACAAATGTTAAATACGACATTGCCAACTGCTTGCTAAAACACTAACTAAAATGTGCCAATCTAAAAACTTAGAAGTTACGACGTTCGGTCGTACCAGAAGCTCTCTTGAAAGCACAAAAACAAGGGAAGACATCCTTAACAAGTTAGCATGGAAACGACCAAGCCGCAATTAAAGACAAACTTGGAAATTGGCCAGTCTTATTTACCGTATTACAGTCTTATTTTTAGTAATGAATATTTCTGTGTACAAACAATGCTAAGAAACGTGATGACACAATTCGAGCTCACCACAAAGTTTGGTCCCACAGAAAGTCGCTGACAGCCGGCAATCTCCGCCATGCATAATTGTGACGTCATGTGGTCATCTGTCGCTTCATCCCGTACTCCCCATCGCATGTCAATGACCTGGAACTCCAAACCATGGCGTGACTTGCAGTAGTCTTTAAGACGAGGGTAAGTTTCCCTCATCAGGGCGTTACGTTCTACGGATGTGTCTGTTCAAAAAAGGGTGATGTTCGCAGAATCTCACTTTACTTCAAACAGACCAAGGACCTGAAGTAGGTCGGCTCAATCATTGATCATTGTGGGTTTGTTCTGCAGATCACGCTTTTTTGTCTCTTTGCAATGTGTTTCACTCCAGCGATTTTGGGGACCCCTCAGCCATGTCAGCATGAGACTCAACGCATGAGAAGGGCGAAGTAGAATGTTCGATAATTCACAAATTTATCAACAATCTAATGCCGTGAAAGGAGGAGTCGCCACAATAGGTGCAGAATAGGTTGTTTTTGGTGTATGTGCATGTGCGCAGTGAAGAGGGCCTAAAAACTTAGGAGTCCTTGATTTCAAAGCGGCGTGTCTAATGTACGACCTTGCGGCCGCTTATGATGGACACGGTGTGGTTGGTGAACAAGCGATAAAATACGTGATGAGCACGTGGTAGGCCTACAGTATTATTTTTACACATACAAAACTACGTGTACAAATTAACTGCTTACGTTTTCTTTGTGACTGTTACGCAGCACCGTCACCAGCTTTGGCGGGGGGGGGGTCGTGCTCAGTGCCAGGGGGTACATCATAAAAACAACAGATGAAATAAATGCTTCGGATGTTAACGGACTTGGGGGGGCAGCTGAAATCAGCGGGGCCCAGCCCCTCAACCCCCGCCCTGGACGGGCTATTACCCATGCATATAAGGGAAAAAAACTAAAACGTTTTCGGTGCATAAGTTTAAAATGATTACCTGTAAAAGTCGAACTGGTAAATATCCGGACAACTTTGGAGCGTTGCCTCGGTAACTCGACGCTGAAATCGCCAGTCAATACAATGTGTGAGTTGGCGGTGTTATCTGCTTCCTTTCTTGAAATGGACGCCATTTTGAGGGTTTAAATAGTAAGGATGATATTTTGGGAGCAGTACCTAGCGAATACTTCTCGTACCGCGTAGCTCATGCTAAGGTTATACATGGCGCACAAATAGCGTCATTGAGGTGATGTACGTGTCTTTTAACAACCTTACAAAGAGTTATGAAGCGGATTAAACTACTAGGCCTATACAAACATGGTGCACGGTGGGGGCTACACCATTATAGGAAGAAGGTATTTCTTTTCTAACAGGACAGAAATCAATACCGTTACACAGTCTCCACAACAGTCTGTTTCTATTATAATGGACTTCCCTGCAGAGTTGTCAACTGCGCAAGTGAATCTTTGTGTATTCATGTAGTTTGATTTGTCAAGCGAGCTGATGATTTTTCATTCCATTTCATTTCTTTGCCAATATTGGCAGAGAAAACAACATTTTCTGAATTAATTCAAACCGCTAAGTCGGTGCCCCCCTCTCTCATTCTGCTGGCTCGAGGCCGGTCAGCAATGAACCACCAAATATAACCAAGGACTTATGAAAGTCTATGCACTGGTATAGTTGCCATGACGCTATGTTTCGCTTGTTGCTTCAAGGCAACTGGTCATCGTCCACAGAGCAGGGTGGATATAGAAGCAATGCATAACTGGACGGGGAGTGCGCTGCCGTGCCGGCGGGCTCAAAGGCCGATGATACAGGCCAGACCCCCCCATACACAAACACAGACACACACCCACACACACAAATACTGACCTTGAAGAATTAAAAATAAAAAATTAGGCCTACATTTTCAGGATCCTGTCATGAATCTAAGAAAATATATAAGCATTTATGTTACTGTCGACTAAATTGGTTATGCACAAACTGAACTAACTGAACTGAACTCGACTTACCCTTATACCTTGCAGCAAATTACCCATATCTGATGATACTGTGTAGGCCTACTCGCGCTTGATGTGGAATAGCCGCGTACCAATGCATTTTTCGGATACAAATGTACGTGTACTTGTATTTTGTTTGTAATAGTAATCACAGTCACAAAAGCTACTCCTTCCCGATATGGCACTATTTTAGTTTGTTGACATTCATTTTTGCGCGAAAGTGAATGCATTTCTGCAATACTGCTTTCATCTTCAACTCAATCTACTTCGGAAAATGTGCAGGCGATTTCGCGCGTCAAGAATTAGAATTCGCCTTTGTGCCAACAGAAGTTACATTCTGAGAAGTGTTTAGTTGATTGGTTAAATGTTTGAATATTCATGGTTGAAATAAACCGCTCATGTTGTCACTGGAAACTACCGACTATTATGGAATTCCTTATCTGCCGTCGCCCGTCGCCTTTTGCTTTGTCCCAATTCTGCCATTTACCAGTTCCAAACATGCCATTTTCCGTCGCCCGTCGTGCGTCGGACGGGCGACGCACGACGGCAGATATGGAATTCCATAAGTAAGGGCTCACCAGGGTTGCTCCAAAGTCGTCAATTTTACAAACAAACGAAGTCTGCTAAAGCGAGGCGCAGGTAATTCAGCACATAATAAAAAAAAAAGTTACTCGAGGAATGTGACCTTTAGTAATCAAGAAGATCTAACTTTATTCGGAATTTGACGACAACTATTCATTTATTTAAAATATTATTATGTATACAGTTGTAGTGGCAGGTACAGGAATTAACATCTGCTGCTCAGGGTGAGTGACTCGTATGTGCAAAACATCATTTCATGGGGTTCAAGTGTGTCTGTTGTGAGTGCAATCCTAGGCACGATTGCAATGGGCTACATGGCTATAACAAACAAATTTAATCTTCTACAAATCTTCAAAACATCTTCCTGTACAGCCGCCTAGTAATTATTCACTGCACTTGCTAGCTGGCTTGAAGTCTGTAATTCTTCACGGCCCTTTTAGGCGACTTTACTCTTGTTGCTTAAATATTTCTCATGTTTCTTCACAAATGTTCTCATCTCCAAAATATTGTTTTTCAGTATCCCTGGACACAGTGATAGTGCCCGCTGAATGCACGATGGTTATGACTGGCAGTTTCTTGTGTTCTTCAGATACATATTTTTTTGAAATTTAAGTAACTGTAAGGGAATCACGGAAGCTTAGAATAAGAGTAAGGACATATCTGGAAAATAGGAAAAACCCAAATGCGAGAACTAGATCAAGCATGGGAATATGAAGCTTGAGCTTTTACATGGAGAGATGTATACCTGTTTTTGACCCCTCTGGATATAATGGACTAAGTGCTTGATGAAAGCCGAATCTAAATACGGTAGAGACATTTTGTGAACTAGAGCAGCTACTATTCAGTATTTCGGGCCTATTCCTCGTTGAAGGTGAATTTGTAACAGTGTTAGCAACCAATTAGCCGATGATAATCTTGATATTGACAGAGTGCTTTTGTGAGGTGCTGATCGATTTATTAGGTTTCCAAATTGGTTAGAGGTAAATGTCACATGATTAAGGGAAAGTTTTAAGATACTTTTTTCAAGCCCACAGTGTTGATCGCGGAACAAGCTTTTCAATCAATTATTGCATCGATAGGATTTGTCAGATTTACTCATTGATATTAAACGTTGAAACAGTGTCACCAGATCAAATGCAGCATTTCTGAACTAACGTAAACGCTTTGTAAACATGACTTCTGCTTTCAATTATTTACATTTGTGAAATGAACAACATCTCATTAACAAAGGAGAATTTCCCGCTTAAAATCATATTGAACACAGTTACATTTTCAGGAATAAATTGCACGTAGCTTCCTGATTGATGCATAAACGGTCGTTCCGGATAAGATTATCATTGTACAATGGACGAGTATGCTCGCAAAATTACCAAAATAATTCATCACCACAGTAAGTCTCCTTAATAGTTTGGCATTTCCCTTCGCTTGATTTTCTGATAACTCATGACTTTGCCATCAGACACCAAAAATGTAAAATATGCATGCACTTGAGCTCACGACTGTTTGCGCACTCGAAGGAATTACTGGGATGACTATCCTATCCTCTTCTACATTCAGTTTTCAAAGAAACTCAGTTCTCAGCACATTTTTTTTTTGCAATTACCCGTTCATAGAACTTGACATGTTTTACTCTTACGCGGCTGATTTTGGAGCCGAGCGTCACGCATCTGTTGCATTTGTCGTTTGACATGAGGCTGTTGCTCTCCTGTCATCGGTGAGTGTGGACTCATTGAGATACCACTGACCGAAGCAGGTGCTGACTTCTTACTGGAGGTAAATGAGGGGACACTCGGTGAGAATGTTAGGAAGGCTACTCTTCCATCCTGAAGTGTTACAATGGCAGTGTTGCATTTAGCTGACATTATTATGGAACTAGTCTTGGCATAGGTATGATACTTCATCAAGTGTTTGCCGGTCTGGGTGTCCCACACTTGGATGTAATTGTCATCCTGACCACTTGACACCAAAAATCGGCCATCGGGACTGAATATAACATTTGAGACATCAGATTCATGTGCTTGTTTCATGGAATGCTTCAAGGACTGTGATTGGACGTCCCAGATGATGACTTCACCGCCGTCGGCCCCAGATGCTACATGGTTTCCATCGGGAGAGAATGATACTGCCGTGACGCGTCCTGTGTGAGCTTTCATAGTTGTTATGTGTGAGAAGGTGGTGAGATCCCAGAGGTCGATATCGTGGTCGCTGCAGCCGGCAACAAGCCTCCTTTCGTCAGCAGAGACTGCGAATGATAAGACTCGATCGGCATGCCTAAGTTCACTAATCACCTGCCCCTGGTTGCTGTCGATAAGCTGGAGTATCTTGGTTTTTCCCGAGGAGTCGTACATTCCAATCTTATATTGGTTGATGAACACTCCGTACCTTAGCATGCAAAAAGCAGTAGATCTCAACTTGATAACTTCAAGGGTCTGCCCTGTTTCCACATGGAGGATGCGGATCTCAAACTTAGGCTGTCCAAGCCCAGCAACGAGCCTACTGTTATCTGGGGTAATCACACAGTGGGAGGGCGTAATCCATTGCTCTCTGAATTTGCGCTGGAGCACCAAGTCAGGTAAGGTTAGGACGTACCATCCGCTGCTTGAGCCTACCATGAAGGTATCATCTCTACTTATGGCCACAGCATAGCAATTTCCACCCGTTGGATCCCCAATGGACTTGATTAACTTCCCGCTCCGCACATCCCACAGCTTGATTGTTTTATCACTTCCCGTTGTGATAACTTTGTCGTCGGCATTTAAGGTCAGTGCTTCATATGTGTAACCGTCGTGTTTGCTGATCGCCAGTTCTGGTTCGTCACTCGAGTTGGATGTTTTGAGATTAGCAACATCCCAGATGCGGACGTTCTTGTCCTCTGACCCTGTGAGAATCTTGGAACCATCGGGCGTGACGGCGACCGTCAACACATTCAAGATATGCGGCAGTTTGGCCTCTACTTCCAACGTTTCAAGGTTGAGAACTACAGCTTCTGACATCTTCAACGCAGCAATTACATGCCTGAAAATAGCCAAACAAAGTGAAAAAATCAATGCAAGATCAAAAGGAAGACTTTCCCCTTTTTATTTTGTTATGACCAAATTTGGCATATACTTGCAACTTTTTTATCTTGTTGAGTTTAATGCTCATCCATTAACTGAGGGGTTGATGAAATGTGACTTTTTACTCTGAATAAAAATGAAAAGAAAGATATACCTACATTTCATTCGGAGTAACAGCCATGCTAGTTACTGGGCCGTCTCTTTCAAAGCAGTCCTGTTTCTTGAGGAGTGTTCTCTCAGTATTCTTGCCGGTTCCGTACATTCTCACAGCACCACAGACGTGTCCAGATATGACACGACTGTTGTCTCTGGTTATGTACATGGTTTCCACAGTGGAGTTCGACTCCGGGTCTCTACTGTCTCCAAGATACTTGCAGTCAGGGAAGCTGTGCAGTGAAATTTCACAACCATGCAACGCAAGAAGTCGTCTATCTTCAGAGAGAGTCACCTTCCAGATTGGGAACGTATCTGCGTCTGTCATTTCACGAATTGTCTCACCTTTCAGGATGTCCCAAAGAATAAGAGTGTGATCTTGGGAGAATGTTATGGCTACTTGTCGTTCATCTATCTCCGTCGTCAGGACGCCTTTTATTTCGTCTGAAAAGATAGAGTTAACGATGTAAAGCTGCATAACTAAAGGATCAAATATTACACAGGACTTTAATTGTCAAGCATGATAGCACATTCCATGGGCATGAGAACGCCAAGTTTAGTCACAACTTTTTTAATCAAACAATAATGCATTCAAAATTTTATAAAAATGGGTGCCAACAGAGACAACTGTCATAGCTATTAACCTGTATGTTTGTACAACCAGTGCATGGTTTGTCCGGACTCCAAATTCCAAATAATCACGACGTCTCTGTTTTCATCATCATATTCTTCTTCATCCCAAGCTTCGTCCTCCTCGGCCATTAACTCTTTCCTTTTTGCTTCTTTGTGCCTTTGCTTTGAATCAGCGATTACTTCATCGTCGTCGTAGTCAGTGTCTTCGTTATCATCATCGTAGCTGACTGTTGTCTGTAGACCACTGACAGCGTATTTTCCATCCAAAGTGATTGCCAGGTTCGATTGGCCTTTACCTGTATGCCCTTTTAGTCGGTGAATCAGATCTCCTGTTTCCATATTCCAGACACATATTTTGCCTGACTTCATGTACTCCCCATTGTGGGTGTACGTCACACAACTCTGATCATCGGGTGTAATTTCGATGCCATAGACGGCTTCCCTATGACCATTCAATATGTGCACCAATGTGCCATTTTCTATCTGCCAGATGCGAGCCGTGTTATCCTTCGAGCCGGTAACAACCAACCGTGAATCACTTGTTATTGCCATAGAAACGACTTCCTCAGTGTGGCCCTCAAGTGACGCCAACAACATTCCACCAGGGGGTTGAAGGCAAGTACTCACCGGAAGCATAGGATGAGACAGTCTCCCTACAATTTTAGCTTGCTCGAGAAGGGATTTCATTCTTGGGAATGTAGTAGCGGCATCCATCAGTCTTCCCATCAACTCTGGCGCTAACTGGTTGGGATTATTTGAAATAACGGACGACGAAAGCCGCAGGGCTCCCAAAAGTATAACAATTTCTGCGTCATCAATCTTTTCTTCTGCTTTGGAGAAATCAGCCAAGACATCTTGCATAGAGAGGGCCTTCACCTTGCTGAGCATAAAGTCAAAGTTAAAGAGCACAGATGTCTTCAGTGTATTCCATTCTTCGGCTTCCATTAAATGAAAAGGTAACTGGGTGAGTTTCCGGAGGTTGAAGGTCACAATACCTTCACTTTCATTTTGGGTCACTGAGAAAGTCAGGGGTTGACTTGAAACTTTACGGTCTTCTTCTGCTTCAGCTGGAACCCCGAAACGCTCAACTTGCAGAGCAGAATATCGGCAGGGTTTTTTCCGACCCTCAGACCAGGTGCCGTCAAAATACTCAGCGCAAGTCTTGTGGAGCTTCTTCTTCAGGCTATCGTCGTTGAGGTACCTCTGACGTGCTGTCTCGATAAACTGGCGATGATACCAGTACATCACTGTCACACCATCTGCATCT